TTTCTTCTTCCACTTCCCTCAATTTACTTCCCCTGATGAACTTCTTCTATTTTTTATTTAATTCCCCGTTGCCCCTCCCGCCCCCGTTCTCTTCTGTTGTTTTTTTTAATTATTTATATTAACTCGAGAATGGAGCGCGACTGCGAGAGAGTCGTCGTGGTCGTCACACACACGAGAGCAACAAGAGAAAAAAACGCAAACCTTTTGTATTTAATTTGTTTAATAAAAAATCATGGATCATAGTACAACATTCCCGAGTGATTTTGGTTTCGCGAACCAGCACACACGTCTACCGTGTTTCACTTCGTTTAATTTCTCATCGTCCTCGTTTCTCGCGTTTTTCTTCCCCCCCGAATCTCCCTTCTTTTCTTCTTTCTTTTCATTATCCCCCGTTGTTCATTTCCTCGCGGCGAACTAGCACGAGAGTCGAAACAAGTACAAAGGAAATGATACAAAAAATAATGAAGAAGCGTAACGAAGACAGAGAGAGAGAGAGAGAGAGAGAGAGGAAAGAACAAGAAGAAAAAACTGACAGAAACGCGAACGAAGTTCGAAGCAGATAAAATACTACATAACTCGTTCGTTATATCGAATGGCTCACCTGAGTTTTTTGTACATATACATAAACGAGGAAGCGCGTGAAACGCGTCGTCCCTTGCCGCGATTTTTCACTTCTTTTTCTCCTTTCGACCGATCTCTGCGTACGGTATACGTTATTGACGAAAATGAACGACCATGCGAATCGAGAAAGAGAGAGAGAGAGAGAGCATCGAATTTTTCCACAAACGCCACTAAGTTTCGCTTTGGAGAGTGTAATTCGACGAGAATGGAAGATATTGGATCGAGAGAACACACACATATACACGAGCGAAGCGACGACCACTGTAATCCTTTCGATTCTTTGCTCTAAGGGGAAAGCGTTTTAACCCTTTACTTTGCGCACCGAAGGAGGTGATTCGATTGTTTCACCAAGTCATTCGAATTGATTCGAACGGAGGAAACGGGGTATACGAAGTGTGACGTTTTTGACAAATGTTTTGCAAACAAGACGTGATTTTTCAATAGTTCGAATTGCTCCATCTTCTTTCTTTTTTCTAATTTAATTCTGTGAATTTTCGTTGTTCCTTTGGGACGAGATTAAGGCACTCCTGAGTTTAATATTGCGACAGATATTTTATTCCTGAATATTTAGTAT